AGAACAGAACAGAACAGAACAGAACAGAACAGAATAGAATTAGAATAGTATAGAATAGAATAGAATAGAATAGAATAGAATAGAATAGAATAGAATAGAATAGAATGTAGAGTACAATGGAATAAAAAAATAATAGAATAGAGTAGAGTAGAATAACAGAGTTGGAAGGGGCCTTGGAGGTCTTCTAGTCCAACCCTTTGCCCAGGCAGGAAGCCCTACTCCACTTCAGACAAATGGTGATCCAATCTCTTCTTAAAAACTACCAACTGTTGGAGCATTCACAACTTCTGGAGGCAAGTTGTTGCACTGATTAATTGTTCTCACTGTCAGGAAATATTACTTAAAGCTTCTGCATACAGGTAGTCTTCAACTTACAGGTTCATTTAGTGACTGTTCAAAGTTACAACGGCACTGAAACATGTGACTTATGGCCACTTTTCCCAGTTGCGACCTTTGCCGCTTCTCCATGGTCATGTGATCAAAACTCAGATGGACTTCTGGGAGTTGAAGTCCAGCCGTCCTAAAGTTGCTCAGGCTGAGAAGCCCTGGCTGTTACGGAGAAGGACGAGGGCAGGAGGAGCTAAATTGGAGAACGGGGGCAAGCGTGGAAGTGGGTGGTGTCAAGGGAGGTTGGTGCTCGTTCACAACTGGACCTCACATGCCCCCCTCCTCCCCCCCAAAAAAACCACACACCTCCTCTGTGTGAACGTACCTGCCCCTCGCAGGACTGACCCAAGATGGGTGCTGAGTGTGCTTTTGTTTTGTCCTACAGGATGAGCAGCAGTCGGAGGTGTCTGGCTCGGAGGAGCTCATTGGCATCCCTCACGCCCTGGCAGAGAAAGCCAGCAAATACACCAAAAGGCCAAACGTCTTCCGGCTCCAGACTTCAGACTGGCACGTCTTCCTCTTCCAAGCCCCGTGAGTTCCCACGTGCCTCAAGGAAGCTCCCCCTGGCCTCACTTCCCTGCGTCCCGTGTGGAAGAGCAGCGGAAATCGTGGATAAATAAGAATCGAGGACCCTTCTCTAGATTCCTCCTCCTCCTCCCTCTTTATGGGACCCCTTCGTAGGGCCCTAGGCACGTCTCTTTTACCCAGACCAAAAATTTCTGGACTTACAGGACATTGGCCACTCCAGAATATTAGCAACTTGGTGGTTAAAGTGTCATGATGCCGTTTGAATTATCTACACAATTCGGCCTTCCTTTTCTATTTAAACTTATTATTTATTCAAAGCTGTTTTGGCAACACACAGTAGAAACAGAGGACTGCCTCTTGCCCTCGAGTTTTCTTCACAAAGAGACTCTTGGGCAATGCAAATGGGATTCCCTGGAGCAGGAAGGACTCCGGGGTGCCACCTGGGCAAACTGATCAGGAATGTGTTGTGCATTGATCCCGATTGTTGAGCTGTGATCGCATGACACGTTTCATCAGAATGGGTAAAGATCCGGCAGATGCATTCATACCCAATGTTGACTTGGGCCAGTTTTAAACATTTTGGAGAGATGGTTTACCCATTTATGGCTGGGTTTATTTTGCTACTTCCCCGAATTGGGCCGATTCATAAAGTCCAATTCTGCTTTTCTAGAACTTCTGAAGAGATGACTTCATGGATTTCTCGCATCAACCTTGTGGCAGCCATGTTCTCTGCGCCACCCTTCCCCGCAGCCGTGGGCTCCCAAAGGAGATTTATCAGGCCGATTTTGCCAACCGCTCCCTGCAAGAATTCCATAGTAAGTCGAGAGCCCGGAGGACGGAAGTGGTTTAGATGAAGTCTCTAAGAAATGCCAGGACCGAAGGCAGGTCCCTGCGGGTGGGGGGGAGCGTGGCTGTGTCTTGGGGGGGTTCCAGTGGCACAGCTCAGCGCAGCCGATGACCTAGGTGGGGGTGGGGGAGAGAGAACTGGGGCACCTGCCTCGGGGCCAGGCTGCAGCCTTTTCCTGTCTCTGTAGGAGGACCAGCACCTGGCCCACGAAGCCTGCATGGACAGGACATCCCACGAACTGCTGGAGCTCCAGCGGAATCTGCCCGAGAAGCGGGGGCGGGGGCGGGATCTGGAGGAGTACCAACTCAGGAAGGAGTACTTGCTCTATGAGGTGAGTGGGTGGAGTCCGTCCATTCTGGGGGAGGGGCAGGGGTGGGATTCAAATGTTTTAACAACCGTTTCTGTGGGCATGGCTTAGTTGGTGGGCGTGGCTTGGTGGTCATGTGACCGTGTGGACATGAGTTGGTGGTCATGTCACTGGCTGGGCCTGGCCAACTCAACATCACTCACATCGAGGCACGCATCTCCTCGCATGGCCTCTCATGACTGTGGGGATGATGCGTAAGTGTGAAAAATGGTCATAAGTCCCTTTTTTCAGTGCCATTGTAATTTTGAATGGTCACTCCACACAAGCAAAGTACCAGCAAAGGAGGGGGAAAAAAACTCCAGAGAAGTTCCTGAGACAGGAAGTCTAGTCCTGCCAAGAATGTAATAAGGGTTAACGGAAAGGCAGTTTCTGCAAGCAACACCAGAATGTTTCCTTTCTTACAGGATTAGCCCAGTAATTTCTTCTAACAACCGGTTTTCCGAACTGCTTAGAATGTTAACAACCGGTTCTAGCGAAAAGGTGCAAATTGGTAGAATCCCATCCCTGGAGAGGGGGTGTGGGGGGTGTGGGGGCGAGTGGGCGGGTCTGCTGGGGAGGGCCATCCTCCGGTGGCGCCTTTCCTACAGTGGGAGGTAACGGCTCATTGAGCTTGAATGGCACGCACACACACACACACACACACCCCTCTGTTGAGAATGGCAGTGTCATTTTTAAGGAATTTGCAGATCCATCTCCCTGCAGTACTGCAGTGCGTGTCCCTGGCCACTTTTCTGTTCACGTGGCTGTTATCTTTCAGAATATCCCTCTTCCTCTGTGCAACCGCTAGTTATCTGTTCAAGTCAGGAGAGAGAGAGAGAGATAGAGAGATAGAGAATAGAATAAGAATAAGAATAGAATAGAATTCTTCATTGGCCAAGTGTGATTGGACACACAAGGAATTTGTCTTGGTGCAAAAACACACACACACACACACACAACCATGAATACAGAATTTTAGATACCAAGTTGTAAGCGACAGAGAGGTTCGCTGTGTCCCTCCCTATTTGTGGGATACGAAAGAGGAAGGGGGGAAAACCTGTGCCCCAAAATAGCATCCTACAATGGGTCCAAGCCCAGGAGAGCTTTGCCTTTCCAGCGAAGAGTCTCCACGGCTCCCCCTCTTTCCGCCACGGAGCCAGATTCCGACCCTTTCGCCCCTTCTCGCCCCGTGCAGAAACGCCGCTACGAGACGTACGTGAAGCTCCTGGAGGTGAAGCTTGGCTGCAGCACAGACGACCTGGACCAGTGGGAGGCCCGGCTGGCCGCCGTGGCCGAGACCTGCCCCGGTTTGCAGAAGTCCCACTCCAGCCCTTCCCTCAACCTGGATGGGCCTCCTGCGGGGGGGGCCAAGGTGAAGCGCAACATCTCTGAGCGCAGGACTGTTCGCAGAATCATTCCCAGGCGCAACAAGCACTTGCTATGACCGGCTCGGCTCTCCTGGCCCCTCTGGGGATGCAGGAGGGGGACTGGCAGGGGGGCGGTTGGCTCAAGCCAGGACGGTCAGCAGTTGCCTTGGCTGAACGCCAGGTCAGGCCTCCATCCGGGGGAGCTCAGCGCCGAGATTCTGGCCTGGAGCCCCTTCCGGCCGCCTCCGGATTCTCGCTCTGGAGATGCTTTTGGGGCAGTGCTCTTCAGCTCTGCTCCTCGACTCAACTTGCCCCCGCTTCAAAATCTTCTCTGGCGCTACTCAGGGCAAACCGGGAGGTCTGTGTGCAATAAAAGGAATAGGAGGGTGAGGAGCCTGGACTCTTTTCCTGGGTGCGTCTCTTGAACCCCGCCCTGTTAGGGGAGGAGCTCTGCGGCTGGGAGGCGTGGCCTCTGGGCACTTCCTCTCCTTGCTGCACCCGCCTCCTCCCCAGAGACTTTGGAGACCTTTAAGACGTGATACCTGCAGAGGAAATAAGGCAACGTGACGGCTTTGTAGCAAGCTGCCAGGTCTGTCTGCCTTCTTGGGACCCCTGAAATGGCACCTCTCATCTTGCCCTGGTCTGCTGCCACCCTCTCCATCCCCCTCAAAACAAAAATTTACTCCGTGTAGTACAGACGCTGGTCTGTGTTGTTTCTAGAGAGATCTAGGTGTCCTAATGGGCCGCCATTTATGAGCCAGCCAGTGGGCGGCAGCTGCAAAAAAAGCCAACGCAACCCTGGGCTACACCAGCCAAGGGACAGAATCAAGATTTATGCCACATGGGTGAGGCTACACTCGGAATCCTGCACCCAGCCGGGTCACCACAACATAAAAAGGATGTCGAAGACCCTAGAAAGTGTGCAAAGAAGGGCAACAACGAAGGATCTGCAGTCAAACTGTATGATGAGCGATTGAGGGAGCTCAGAGGGATGCTCAGCCTAGGGAAGAGAAGGATGAGCGAGGCGTAACTTTGAGGGGATTGACTTACTCTCTAATCGATTTCCTCCGTTCGGTTGTGGGGTGGGGGGTGTCTGTGAGGTACACCCCTCTATAGCAACGCGATCATTCTTGGATAAGGATTTAGCATTTCTTCCTGGGGCAGAAAGTCTTCGCAGGCATCCCTGATACACGTGTCGTTGCCTAAGCTGCGGGAGATGTTTATAAGGTGCCTATCCTCGCTAGTACCATCGGACAATTGCACACCTACTTTGCAAGGGGGTTACTAAGGGGGGAAATTCTGAGGCACAGCAGATGCTAAGTATTCTTACTTCCAGCAGTAGGTGGCCGGGGGCCAAACCCTTTTATTACAGTGTGTGTGAAATGCAGGGGGGACCCAGGTGCCTTGAAGTGAGCCACCAAGGCAGCTTCCTTCTAAACAGATCCGTGCAGCAGCCAATGATTTATAAATACTTTTATTACAGTTAGTAAATCAAATGTGCAAAAGTGAATAAACATCTCTTAGAAATTCCTCAAAGATCAGAGGCTCTAGATCAGAAAAGGCTGCAGCTGAAGGAAGACTACATGCCAATCAAAAGGAATGATCTCAGTGCCACTCGGGGGTCCCAATTGGAGGAGTCGGGTCCTTGGGAGCTGACATCTTGAGGAGCTAATTTTCCCAAGAGAGAAGTCAACATTTAAGAGAACCTGAACTGGACTCTCGTCTTCCATTTTTCATTTAAAACAATATTTCAAAAACATCTTTATTGCCAGGTGAGTTTCAGTCATTCACTTCTCCATCTGGGATGACGAAAGGTACACAAAGTGAGGAGACCCGAGGACGAGGTTTCCTGGAAGGGGAGGAACACCCAGAGTGGCCGCGTAAGGCTGGGATCCTTCCTGGGGAAGCTCCACTGCCCGTTCCAGGAATTTGGCCAGATTCATTTGGAACCGAGAAGGCTGGCAAGGCCTGTTCCCAGCAGCGGCTGAGGCACTTGCAGAATCAGAATTTTACCAGGTTCTGCTGGGAAGGGAATCATCTAGCACCATGAGGGTGAACCTATGGCGAGCGTACCAGAGGTGGCACGCAGAGCCCTCTCCGCGGGCACGCACACCGTCGCCAGCTGCTCTTCTGGTTTCTGAGGCAGCCAGCTGGTCTTGGTGGGTGCCAGAGTGCTGGAAAATGGCCTGAAGATGCCCCCAAAATGGCCTGACAAGTGGCCAAAGAACAGGCCGTTTTTCAGACCAAAACAGCCTGAAACCAGCCCCAGAAACAGCCAGCAAACAGGCAGGCAGGCATGCACCAGCCAGCTGGTCCGACGCATGCACATGTATTCCAGTTTGGGCACTCAGTGGCGAAAAGGTTCGCCATCGCTGATCTAGCAGAAAGAGTCCCTGCCTCCTGGGGCTGCGTTCACACGTACAGCTGAGAGAGCCTTTTGGTCCTGACGTGGGAGGGAGGTTTGTGGGGACAGGCAGGTGTGGCAGGGAAGCAACCGGAATCTCTCGATCACGACCTCTGGCCAAGGGCCTCGTGATTCAGTGACGGATTTCAGCTATTAAGGGAGGAGATAACGGGGGCAAAATTAAAAACACACAAGAAACGTGGGAATGATGAGTGGGGAAAGTCCAGTGGCGGGAAAGGGACTTAAGACGGGATGACCCCGGTGGCCAGCAGGATGATGAGAATAAGGATGATGGCAGCAACGACGCAGATGATGGCGATCATCTTCATGTTCTTCCACCAGTACTTGCGGGCCACTTTTTGTGAGGTTGTCTTGAAGTGTTCCGACTGCGTAAAAAAAGATGCACATCACTTACAAAGGGTTTGTTGTAAGGAGCTTCCCTCCCTGAACCCGGGGAGGTGTGTGGGTGTGGGGGGGGAAGGCTTCAGTTGCAAATAGGTTGGCAGGTGCCTTCTCTTTTTTATTAAAATTACTACTATCAGAGTAAAACAATACAAACTAAAAATATAAAACTAAAAGGTGCAGAGAAGAAAGAATAAGAATTCCAAGTCTTGCCCAACCTCTCCATGCTTGGCGAGCATGCAGGGGGACTTGTACATGCCCACCAGGCCACTATAAGGAGGAGTTACCATCTTTAAAAAGAAAATTTTATTAGCCCAGGAGCAAAACGGTCTCTGTTCATGCCACGCAATCAACTATGTCCATTCAGGGTCTCCTGCCTGCATTTATGCAAGGTGTTAATTTTGATTACGTCTGTCTGAATATAGTGTGCAGATAAAGCCCTTTCGATATGATATGGGAACCCACAAAATGGACCGGTTCAGCAATGAAGCTTAACTATAACGTGCAAACCAAGCTGGTTTGTCCAAACAGGGGCTCCTTCCAGCTTTAGCCTCACAAACGGAAGGCTTGGGAGGGACACGGTAGTTGCCTTCCAGGACTTGAGGGGCAGCCACAGAGACGGCGGGGTGGGCCTCTTCTCCAAAGCCCCCCCTGAGGGCAGAAGGAGAGGCAGGGGTGGAAGCGCAGGAGAGAGAGAGATCCAAGTTCTAGAACGAAGGAGGAGGAATTTCTTGGCAGTGAGAACGAGCGGTGGGAAGGCTCGTCTCCAGAGGTCGTGGTGCCCCATCGCTTTTCAAGAAGAGACTGGACGGCCATTTGCACGTAATTCAGGCCTTCTAATTTCCATTAGTTTTTAGCAGGGATCCATATTCCCGACCCAGTACATTTTCTCTCTCTCTCTCAGGGACGCTTTGGTGGGGCGGTGTGTTCGGTATCCTTTGCAGGAATATCTGGCACAAAATGAGCCGGTGCCATAACTACCCATCCTTTTCCTGCCAAGCGACACCCCAGGAGTTCCACCTGGGACCATTCGCTTCATGGACAGCGGAAAACTTGCACGTGGAACGAAGACGTTTGTTTTCCCTTCAGCTCATTACCCAGCTCTCCCTTCTCCATAGGGGTAATCTGAGCTGCTGCAGGGGGAACCCACTCTTCCCCCTATAGGCTATTTCACCTGACCTGGATGGATGTTTATCCCCAAGCCCGTTATCTCATCTACTCAGTTCAGAGAATACTAGATAGCCCAAAGGAGACAAAGGGCTCCTCTAGATCCTCCGGACTTTACCAGTTCCAGCCTGACCACGGATGCAGCTGTGGCTTCTCCTGGGCCGCTTTCCTCCCCTCAAGCAAGAGGGCGAAAGCCCTGCAAACCGCACAGAGAAACCTAGAAATGCCCGCTTGCCTTTGACGCGGTTTGAGCGACTCCCTCCCTCCTTCCTCTAAGATTGCGTGAAGATTGCCATTCCCAACTGATACATGATACTGGGCGAGTCAACAATTATATAACAAGAAGAATAGACAAGGTTACGTTATATAATCAACATAATCTGCTCTCTATAGCAGGAGTCTCCAATCTTGGCCACTTTAAGAGGTGTGGACTCTGGGAGTTGAAGTCCACACGTCTTAAAGGGGCCAAGCTTGGAGACCCCTGACTTAAATGACCCTTCTGGTCTCTTCCAACTCTATCATTCA